CTCCTTCTAATTTGTTTTTTAAAAAAAGCGCTTGACAAACTTGCCCCGCATGCCGAAGTTGCCCCGATCTCCCCTACGTTTATTTAGAAAAATTTATTTGTATATGCCTGTGTTATAAATGTTTTTTAAGACCTCCGTTGACCCATTATTTAAAAAACCGAAAAAATGAAAGCGTAAGTAGGGCATAAACTCTAGACTATAGTATATAATACTGTTCTATCACCTGGACAAAATGGCAAGGAATCAAAAGATAAATAAATATAGTCTACTTATATTAACTTAGTCGTGCTTATTGAAATAGCTGAGGCTTCTACGACACTTTGAGTTACAACGCCAGCCACCTTGAAAAGGACAGTTCTACATTTTCTTAGCCTATTCATCTGAACTGAAACTAAAATTAATGTTTTCTTTCTATAATTTATAAAACTTGGTGTAAAATATTAAAGAAAAAAAAACAAGAAAAAACAAATAAAAACAAAAAAATAGCCCCATTACATAGAGTGTGATGGCTGCCAAGACCTTATTACCTACACAGCAGTGCGACATCGTTATTTTAACATTTTACCTTTTTTCCCTTTACAGCATTGATTGATGTATCTGCTCTGTCTATTAACCTCAAAGGCCAACGTAATTTGCAAACACACGCATTACAAAATAGCCAAAAATTCCCGCCATTTCGTATACTTAAATCATTAAACTTAACGTATATAAGTTTGACAACACAAAACCCTACTCACAAGAGCAAGTGTGACGAAAGCACTCATGACCCTTGGCGTGAAATTACAGAAATGTGAGAGAGAGAATCCCTCGGCATCTATGATACAAGTTATTTTCTTTTCTTGAGTTCGATGTAAATTTAATTGAAGGTCCCATATAAGCAGTATAACACGTATTACATCAATTCCATTTGCAACAGACGTATCCCAATTGGCTGTGGAAGAAATTAGTTTTAAAAATAATTATACAGTAATATTATCATTAATATAATATAGAACATTAATTAATTACCTTAATAATTTATGTAATAAAAAATAAAAGTAAGAAACTACAACAGTGGTTTTTAATTACAACTTCACTCGCAATCGAATAGACAAAAAAAAAAAAATACAAGAAAAGTAAATTAGTTAAAAATAAATAAATAAATAAAAATTTTACATACACGTATCTTAGTTCAGGATTTATTAAAACATAATTTGTTAAAACTTATAGCTTTGTATATTCAGGAAACGTCACAAACTGTAAAACAACTAATTTAAATCATCACAAAAGCATAGAATCGACTAGTAAATGAATGCAAAAAGAATTATATACTAGAAAATAGTTTAATTTAGTAATTTATTTGCGCATCTTATTTACTGATCAAATCGAAATTGCAATTTGACTTGCTATCAACAAGGTATTTTATGATCGATGCCTGAAGGAAGTTTCAAGCAGTGACAATTGCTTGTTTTAAGTGTTCAGCGTCGATATATTGATGATTTTGGCAATAAACTCAGTCAACCAAGATCCCTCAAACGTTTTCTAAAGGGTTGCAATCAGGAGAATGAACTGGTTCAATCCGTTTATTTTCATACCACTATTTCGTATCTCATGATACATGATTGTGCTATTGAAAAATAAGGGGAATTCTTTTGAATCTGTTTTTATGGCAGCAATTTGTTCTCCAGAATTTGCTGATAGCTGGCACTGTTTATGTTACAGGTAACGAATGCCAAATCTAAGTTTCTTAATAAAGAAAAAGCACCCCAAACCATAACACACCCACCACCGAAATTCCTTCACGAAAAGTACTTAAGCTTTTTTTTTGTAAATTACGCCAGTAGAACGCTAAACCATTTGGTCCATCCAAATTGAAGTTTTTTTCGTCGGAAAACATTATCTATACGACAAAAAAATTGTTATTTCTTAGCTAGCACGATAGATCTAAATACAGTGTTTCTCAAAGGAGGCGATATCGTTTTTCCATGTTGAGGGGGCGATTAGTAACAATTTATATTTTGGGGGCAAAAAACAATTTTCTGGGCGATATAGTAAAACATTATATTAAGAATAATTAGACATTTTATCCGTTATATCGTACAATAATTAAACAAATAACATTAGACTAGTCACTAGTCTATTCAATGCAGTACGAATTTGGCGTTAGTCTTGATCCTGGGCATCACAATTTTGAAGTGAAGGGGGCGATACTACGTTGAAGGGGACGACGATTCGTTAGAGGTTGAGAAACACTGATCTAAACGAAAGAAAAAAATTACCTTATTTCATTGAGTGGACATGTTTTTCCCAACAAAATTGAGCAGGTTGCTTTGTGCTCAGGCGTAAGAGCAAGGGCACTTGTCATTCCAGACCGAATAGTGTTCTTGTTGCTGTGAAAACCCTTTTAACGGTTCATGATTTACTCGAATACCCAAATCGTCCCAAATGTTAAGCGTAGACACTGTTGAATTAGAAATTGCATCTGCGGTCTTGCAGGGTAAGCATTGAAAGACATCCACTTCTACGCTTTTGTCCATAATTTTCAGGATTTGACAAATGATGCTGAACGAAGTTTTTAGAACACTTAATGCTGTTTGCTACTCCCTGTAACTTAAACCAGTGCTTCGCAAAGTTACAATTTGTCCTTTCTTAAAGTCCGTTAAATGGGTACCATCAGGCATGATGAAAAAAAAAAAATTCTTTCACTCTTCAACTTGCGAGTAAGATGGAGTTTCTATTCTTATGTGGTAGTATGCAAATTGATATCCTCGCGATTTCGCAGTCAGCAATAAATTAGTTTCCTAAAATTATGTTTTAATAAGTTAGGTGCTGAATTACATTTCTATTTGTATCTATTAACCCATGTTCTGACCTTAAAAGACCAATATTTTGAGCGGTTCTATACTTTTGTAGAAAACCTTACTTTCTGGTTCTTTTAAATATAACAGAGGAAAAATACGGCGATTAGTCATAAAATGAATCACCCCTAACATTTTTACATTTTTCGACTCGGGATCTTGAATCGTCGAAAAACTAAGAAAATTGCGAAGGGATTTTTTTCTGTTTGTATGGATATTAGTATGGATAGTGGGGTCATATTTTGTTTATTTTGTTTGAATATTAATAACTCTTGTTCTTTGTGTCAAAAATTTCTGAAAGTTTGCAGAAATGTGTGTGTTTTCATACTATTAAATTTTGGTGGTTAAAGCTCGATAGGGTAGGGTGATAAACGGGGTTAGTATGTCTTATCTTGGGTAGGGTTATACTTTTAAATGACGACTTTATAGGTTATTAACATCTACAATTTTTTATAAAGGCGCTTCCCTGACCTCAAAACTAAGCTCTTTGACATTTTATAAAAATAAAATATTTTAAAATTTTTAAAAATATAATATCATAAAAGATGACGCCATCAAAATTTTTATTTTTTCGGGAAAGTTAAGCCACTCGTTACTGGATTTTTTAAAATTCATTTCAGGGTTTGACTACAAACAGGGCATTTCTCGTATGTCGAAAAGTAGTAAGAAATAGAAAATGTTAACTTGAGAAGTCTTTGATTTGCTTGAAATCCAATCCGGAAATTTCAGATTAATTGACTTGTGCATTAACCGCTTCAGCCATTCGTGCCCAATTATTATTATTATCATTATTATTTTATAATTTTTCCGCCCTGTAAACACTAAGAGGGCCTCTTATAGCAGGCACATTATGGTTTTGGCTAGGCCCACAATGGTGTGACCGGTTGATGAGGGACGGAGTTCGACATATCCGAACGAACCATCCTTCGAAAAATTCCTGGGATTTCCTTAAACCGACCAGATTCGTTCCCGGATCCCCAGAGCGGTAGGCTGCCACCTTGACCGCTCGGCCATCCGGTCGTCAAATGTGTCTAATTATCTCTGAAGCAATCCTGTTTTCAATAACGATAGAAAAAGGCATATATGCAATGTACAAAATAATTGCATTCTGCTTGCCTACTACTTATAAGGAACTACAGTAGAGCATCGATTATCCGACTCAATTGGGGACTCGGGTTGGTCGGATAACTGAAAAAATCGGATAACCGAAAATAATGAAAAAAATACATTATTACTATAGTATATTAGTATATCGTTAACCTATTTCGCGTTGAATTTTCATCGATATTAAGCCTAACAAACTTTTTTTAAAATAATAATCATCGCTATTGTATCTTTAAAAATTATTTTTAAATTATTTTATTGCTCACAAAACAACCAACCACTCATAATTAGAAAATTAAATCTCGTTTAAATATTGGCTCCCTTTCATGGTTGATGCAGTGTTGCCAGGTAAAACACGCAAAAATTTAACAAATTATATTAAAGTAGCCAAGACATAGCCAAACATTGTAGCGCCACATCACTAGCAGACATTTGAAATTTGCGGACAAGAACGGTCGGTTAACCGATGTGACGATTAATCGGGGGTCGGATAATACATGCTCTACTGTATAAGATAAGCCCAGCGTTGCTCGGGCAAAAAGTAACGAACCGACGATTAACATTATTAGATTATAGCCGAACTTACTCGTTTTCAACGGATGCAAGAATTTTATTCACCATCTTACGAGACAAATTAGAGAATTTTTAGATGTGTCTAAAATTATGTTCGATTTCTCGCGAAAAATCGCATGTAAAATAGTACAATAGAAGCCGTGTTCTTTAGGGTAATCCTCTCCTTCTTCTCCGCGGAGACGTATTTCGAAAAATTCCTCCTTAGTGTACAGGCCTATTCTCGTGACGTACAGTACCCTAACTGTATACCAAATTTCAACTTTCAACTCCTAACTGTTTGAGCTCTGCGCTTATTATTATTATTATTATTATTATCAACTTATTTCGAATATATTCTAATATATCGCCCTCCAATCGAAAAGTTTTGGCGCCGTTTCCCTAAGCCAAACACGGTTTAACTGAATGGTTACTGATAATTAAAATGTTAATTTTTTCTGTTTTAATTCTAAAAAAAATAAAAGAAAGTAAAATCCTTACTTACCATATCGGAAAAAGCAAATATAGCTTCCGTTCTGATCGGGTTTTTGGCAAAAATTGGAAAATATTCATGTTCACAACATCCTCCATTTTCGAAAGAAGAAGATTTTTAATGTATTGCGGATAATTTACTCGTGTGTTATAATAATTCTTAAGCAACTGAAGAGAACTTGGCAAATCATATTCTGTAGCACGTAGAAATCCGAGAAGGAAAATGTCATCCATGAGACATGTAATGCGTTGGTCTCCTAATAGAAGTGAAGAACATAGATATTAGTTTATTATGTTTTCATAATTAGGTTGTGATACAGATCGAATCATTTTAAAAATATTCCTTAAATTAATGTTACGTATTTACATATTTTTGAAAAACAAAATTATGTGAACACGTAACATTAATTTTTTTTTTTTTTTTAATAATAAGAAAGCTAGCCATGAATTAATCCTAGAACAGTTCAATACTATAGAAGAAAACATAAAATTTGAAGCTGAAATAGAAGAGAATAATAGGTTAAATTCTTTAGATATAACAATAATTAAAATATAATAATAATTTAAAATATAAAAATATTCATAAAACATCTACAGATACCGAAAGTATTAAATAATAATTCTAATGTTTCTCAAACAATGAAATTTAATATATTTAAAATGTACATAGAAAAAAAAATTAAAAATATAACAACTAATTTACAAGACAAACAACTAGAAATAGAACAAATAAACAAAATGTCTTTACTAAACGATTATCCCAAGAAAATATTAGAAAAATTGAAGGATTAGATCAATAATCAAGCTAATAGAAATAGTAACTTTAATAAAGACATGAAATGTGTAATAGCCCGAAACATAGATGTGAACAGATGTAGTACAGATGTAGATGTTGACAGGTAGTTCAATAAAAAAAAAAGTCTGTTTTCTGTAAGAACTTTTACCTTCAATTCTTGAGCGAAAACCAGTATAATTGTCTTATTAATAAATAATGTCCAAGTTCACAAAATATATATTTAGAAACTGAAGGACAGTAAGGCAATAATAATTAAGTAACATTAATTTGTACTGTACATTGGTGAATTTTTCTTTTTATAGTTGCAATCATACAATAGTATCATTTATAGAGAGGGTAACGTGTAGAAAAGTATATTAAGTAGTAGTAACAGTGGAAAATATGTAAGAATATGCTAGAAAACATAGAAGGTTTTACAAAGATTGGCTATTATTTAATAGATTTTATCTTTTTATACAGGAATATTTCGAAAACCTTATGTTACGACTTTTTTTACAGATACTTTACGTCTGTATTAGTGTTGTATTAATTGTACACAATAAGGTTCAGTAAGTAATTTTATGTTAAATATTATTGTCGGATACAATTCTGTTGTTGTTTTAAAAACAAACTTTTATGAATTTTTATAGAATAATTCAAACCTGCTGAGAAAGGGTGTTCACGTCCGAAACACAGAGTGTACGGGCAAAATACAAGATATTTTGTTTTGACTTTTGACTAAGATCTCCACTGTTTACTAATCGGAAACTATACCAATTTAATAAAGTTTATTAAAATACAAGGTATAAGTAGTCAAGCATACTAACATTAATTTCTAAGAGAACATAGAGAGGTATAAATGATTTACATCATTAATTCTTTTTAGGTAGGATTAAATTGAATACATATGCCTATTTCTTCAGCATGGACTCACACAATCAACAAGGATGTCATATCTTATGTTCAGTTTGAAAACTTGTGGTTAAATCAGTGAATAAGAGATTGGAGTGAAATAACGGAGCGTATAAAGTACTTTCGTTTTTCTAACAAAGTGTAAAAACATAAATAACAATTGGAAATTCGAAGTAACGTGATCGTTCTTCCGTTAAAGATAGAATAGTTTAGATATAAACTTATGACCTAAGGCAGCTTTTGGAAAACTTCAACTACGAGATCGATTTTATTTGTTATGTTTTAACAATTAAAACGATATCAACTTACTGATAAGATTTTTGAAAGATTTCAAGGATTTTTTCGTCTCAAGGAAACTCTTCTTTTTCTTCCTCAAATATCGAATCCTTTATCTTCATTCCACTCATTTTGGGCTATCAATTTAAAAATACTTCATGATCGTATTATTTTTCTTTCAGTCGTAAACAACATATTTCGACGAAAACTACACCTGCATTCTGTTCAATACTCTTTGTGAAATATTAAATAATACATGCCAAATATTCCTACATATAATTGTAATAAATAATTAATATTAACACAAGTGAAACACTTCTACTTACGTTTTCCTTTACAAAAGCAACTTTTAAGTAGAATTATTAACTAGAATATCTAGTTATATCGAGATATTTATTTTTTTGGACGTTATATCTTATATCTTTTTAAGGTCATAGTTACGTGTTAACCGGTTATTTTTATATACGCTTTGCGTTATGTAAAACAAATTTATTCGCATTTATACAACAGATTATTTATAAAATGCAGAATAGTATATAAACTGGCATTCTGAATTTATTTCAATAAAGAAAATCCTGATAACCTTTTATATAATAGAGTAATTATTTTAAACAGCATTAGCATGAATTAATAAACCCGGTTAAAATAATTCTAGATAGGAAACACACCTTGATAATAGAAGAAATATTTTTTAATTCAGTTTCAACCAGGGCTGGGGAGTCGGAGTCGAGGTGTACAGTACAAATATCCTCATCGACTCCCCAACCGATTAAAAGTTAACAGGGAAGAGGACATAGAAGGGGTCGTGTGACATATCTCCATTGTAGTCTGACTTAATGAATATTTATTTTATTATCGAGATGGGTTAATAATAAGCTCAGAGTTCAAACGGTTAGGAGTTGAATGTTCACTGACAAGGGATTTTTCGACATTCCTCTCATTTCGTGAGAAAGAGAGAGAGAGAGAGAGAGAGATTTAAGAATTACCCTGATGAACTCAGTTTCTACTGTATGTTTTAGATGTTATTATTTGCGTTTCTGCGAAAAATCGAACATACATTTAGACCCATCTAAAAATTCCCTAATTAGTCCCGTAAGAGAGGGGAAATAATTTCTTTTACCAGTGAAAACGGGTAAAATCGGCTATAATCTAATAATCTTATATAGTTTTTTCGAGTTTAATCTATCTCCGTTTTCGAGATTAAGAAAGGACAACAGACGAAGGACAATAATAATTTACAGGTCTACAATTTTTAGTTTTACAGCTGTTAAAACAGAAGGAATATCTTTCAAAGAGCTTACCTACAGATTTTCACACTTTTCGGTTAAAAACGGTTTAAAACGTCTACAAATGCAAAAAAAAGTCGAGAATATTAATTGGTATATGATATTAGTGTGTAGCACACTACACAAAAAGGATAGTAAGCTTTCGCATTCTGTATTCTAATTTCAGCCAGGTTTGAGTGTTTGGGAATTCATTTACAAATTTTTTAAACAAAGTCCATCTCTAGTTTCAAAATTAAGTTTCTGCCATTTTATATTAATTACTAATAGAAAAAAAAATTCGAACAAATTCTCTTAACAAATGACACAACAGATAATTTTAAGTTGTTGAGAAAGGTAAGCAACTGGTTGCTAATTATTTTCGTTTAGTATCCAACTTATCTCTGAAGAACAGGAAGAAAAATTTTTATCGGAATTTACAATATTTATATTATAAAGGCAATTTATAAAACACTCCTAAATTCCTCTCTTTTTTGAACTAATTTTATACGTTATAATAATTTAATTTATAAAATTATATAAAGTAAGTAATTTTCTATTATGCTTTTTGGCATCTGGTTGTCTGTGCAGTAAATTAATTCAATTTCCACCAAATTTCGAATTAACAATTTTGTAGAGTAAAACATTTCAAAAAATTAAAAGATTATTCCTATAACTTCTGCCTTTTCACAGATCTCAGGTACAAAACACAGTTACACAATGGAGTTTACCTTTGTTCTCAGACTCTTCTATTTAAAACATATTTAATGGCGCCTTTGGGTGGATACAAACAGTCTTATCTTGTTCCCTATTCAAATCCTTATGTAAATAACAGTAATAGATCGAAGATTGCACCTTTTTAAAGGCCAGAATTACTGCTATTGGACTTCTATTTGAAATTTGGACGGTTTATAGATTTTCGGAAATACTCAAACGCAATCATATGACAGAGATATCTTCATCAAATAGCGTTAAATAGAATGTGCTAAGCAAAATATTAAACAATAATCAAACACTTTTATCGTTGCCGAGAAAGGTATTTGGACATTATTTTCATCTTTCTCCTCTTAAAATTATAACAAGAAACAATGCTTACGTGACATTTGTCAACAATGAAAGTATCTGTAAACTTTTGATATTGGTAATTAAACAAATATTATTGTCAACTGTATTATCTATCATTTAGAAATAAAATTGTATCACCTTTGAAACGAATTAATCAACAGTCTCTGTCTTAAGAGATAGCCAGCGACGCCCCTTAGTGGGCGTACTAGCAGCAGCAATGTCATTCCGTGGTATAAATAATAAATTCCTATTACAAATAAAAATAATAGTATACTGGTAATAAATAAATTATACTGTGTGAGAGCCGGATATCACGAAATTTTTCAGGGAAGTTTGATTGTTAAGAGGATTGATGTTATTAAATTTTGGTGATTAAAGGTCGAGGGGATAAAAAGATAAATGAGGTATCGTTAGTGGAGTCGGATTTTATGACAATTTTACTCGCTATAAACATTTACAATGTTTATATAAATCCTAACCTTACCCTCAAAATGAAGCTTTCTGTCGTTTTAAAATGGTTATAAATATAGAAAAGTTATTTTAATAAAATATGAAGACAGATGATGTTAATAAAAATTCTAAATGTTGCTGGGAAACTTGAGCAACTGGTTCCTGGTTTGTTTTAAATTGCAGCCGAATAAAATAAATTAAAGTTATGAGAATTAAGTATAGATTCTCGGTCCCAAACGAAGTCTTAAAAAGTATAACTTACATTTTTTTAGCTATATTTCATGCATAAAATGCCTACACGTGCAGTATAATATTATATGATTTAATTATACAATCAATGGAGAAATTAACAGAGAAATGTAAGAAAAATATAAAATTTCAGCAGACAAACTAGACTTGATGCGCCAATGACTATGTTAACATTACACAGGGAGTCTAAAAGACATACGAGTTTAGGTTATTGTTTGGAATGCATTGTTGTATATTTTTATTGTTGGCGCCGTTTTGTTGGAGTAAAATAACAAGTAAACATTCGCTTTATTTTGCTTAAAGTAAGTAAATTATAATTTTCGATTTATAAGAAACTAGCAGGTGGGCCCGGCATTGCTCGAGCAAAAGTAACGAAAACTAAGATAAAGATTATTACGTTACAGTCAACCTTACCCGTTTTCACAGAATGCGAGAATTGGGTCCCATTGTTTCCAGACTAATTAGAGAACTTTTAGATGGATCTAAAAATATGTTCGATTTCCCGCAAAAGCGAAAAAAACTGCATCTGCGTATTGCACGTCGCTTTCTCTTAATAATTTCATTGTTACGTAACACTTCCATTGTTGACACTTCCATTGTTACTTAACATTTCCATTGTTACTTAGCACTTCCATTGTTACTTAGGACTTCCATTGTTATCTAACACCGCCATTGTTACTTAACACTTCCATTGTTGATGGAAGTGTTAAGACTTAATCCTGTCTTTCTCCCCCCGGGGGGAATTTCGAAAAATCCCTTCTTAGTGCGCGTTTTCGTGACGTACCCTATCTGTGTACCAAATTTCAGCTTCCAACTCCTAACCGTTTGGGCTCTGCGCTTATTATTATTATTATTATCAACTCTTCTCGATTATATATATAGATAAAGATGAAATAACTGACGATAGAATGTTTAATTCTAGCGTCGTAAAGTTTTGGAGTTCAAATTTTATTTAACACGTCAAATTGTTTTAAAATGAAGATTGAACCAACTATCTTACCAAATTATACATAAAATTTAATGGACAAAAGTCATATTTTAATTTAAACGTCATAATACATTCGTCCAATAGTTTCCCCCATGCATTAAATTTTTAGTAGGTTAGGGAGTGACGTCAGGTAAGGGTAAAAGGCGAACGTCTCTGTGGAACCCGTAAAATATTAGATTCTCCAAAGGAAATTTTTTCTCTTGTCAGAAGGAGTCGAAATAATAGTCGTATAATAGAAATAGAAATAATATTTAACGCTCTAGTCGTAGCTAAAACGTCCGAGAGGATTGCTAAAGTACAGCTGAAGGAAGAAACGGAAGAAAGAGAAACTTCCGCGGTCCTAACGAAAGAAACTACACAGGAATCTCAACCACCAGAGCTCCAAAGGCAATATCGGCGAATAGCATTTTACCGGACTTGCCTAGAGCGAGCGGATCCAAGAAGGACCACTTACATAGGAAAAGGAGGGAGAGCACTTGAATAGTCGAACCCAGATACCACTAATATACAAAAAGGAATGACAGAAAGAGGATTGTCTGCTTCAAATACACTCAGTTTGAGAAGCAGGGGAAGAAGTCATGACGATCCACTCTAGACTCCTAATAAAAAAAAGGAAGCTTCTTATTGTTTACACCTTGTATATAGGCTACATAAAAAGAACATGTATGATAATCTGACGTATATGATTTTGTTATGTGAAGGTATATTCTTAAAACAGAGGTTTACATAGTATAGTGTTATTATTTTATTTAAGTCACAAAAGTATGACATTAAATTATCATATAGTATATCAAATATTGTATCTTCCCAATTTTGTTATCCGTGCTGAAATACGTTGAAAACAGATTGGTGTAATACACATTATGTAACTTATATTCCAAGTACTGTAGACCGTTATTGTAATTACGACTGCGAACATCTAATGATTATGCTTGTCACAAGGTAACGCGAATCCAATCTCGTGCTTTTTAGTAGAGAGAAAGAAGAAAATAAATCTTATAAAGGCGATCTAGCGCAGAGATTACGTTTCAGACTTTCAAGAATTCGATCATAAAGAATTATTAAAAACGAGCGGAAGTTTCAAAGTTCCATTAACCGAACAAAGAAGAGGTGTCGAATTTGACCCATCGTGGCCGAAATGATCTGTTATCTACCTGGATACAAGCGAAAATCGAGAGATCCTGGAAAGAATTCTTTAAAACTGCTGATCTCAAGAACAAACTCGAACTTTCCTGTCTCACGTTGTGAGTTATCCAATTAGTCATCAGTGTTCTACACATGAATTCTTCATCCCTAACACCGCTATTCCTCTTTAAACTGTTGTTTTTTTCTACAGTTCGTCGCCGGACTTTCCGATACATTTAGAAACGTCTCACCCAACGTCCCAGGCCCATCGATTTTTCTACCGACCAGCTCCAACAGTCGACGATACGTTCTATAAAATGTAAGATTTAGAGTTATTAAACGGATTTGTTTGTAACAGTAGCTATAAGAAAGGACATCGCACATTATGCAAGGAGATTCAATTTTTTAAATTTGTTTTACAGGATATAAACACGAGAAAAAACAAACTAATTGCCATTAATTATTTTAATATATTATTACTAAAATTGATTATCCAGTAAATCTTTTATGACAATAGATTATGACGTGAACGGATTTAAAGCAACGTTCATCGGATTGAATTTAAATTGCAACGTCGATTAAATTTTTAAATAAAAACTTATACTGAAATTTTAATTATTTTTAAATTAAAAAATATACTTATGTATTATTATGTCTTCTTTTATTTGTTTGTTTGTTTCTTCACTACTAGATGCATAAATAGACACAAGGCATTTTACATCATCTTTATTGATATTCTATTTATGTAAACACATATTTTAAACGAAAACAAAAAATATAGAGGAGAGGAGGGTATTATGGAATACCATTTAAATTTCTAAAAATAACTTTACTGGTTTTTGAATAAAAATCCCAAAATCATCACGAGTACATACTGTAACTAATTGTAATGAATTGTCACTTGTAAAAAAATACTATTTATTTTGTTGTTATAAAAAATGTATTTAAAAAAACTCACAAATGGAGGGTAATATGGAATAGGTGGTTTAAACCATTGAAAAACTAATTAGACTTCATAAAACATAGTTATTCTTAATCTAAAAGATATGGTTTTTATAGTTATGTGCGTGTCGTTCCTGCTTCGAGTCTATTTATAGAAGTCACAGATGTAATTTTCTTTCTCTGCTCCGGTACAGAGAACAGCTGAAGCCAAATTTTCCCTCGTTCATCTTCAGAGAATTTTCCGTTACAGAAGATACATTCAGCATCTTCGTTTTCTGGTTCTTTAGTTGATGGCATGAAGTTTATTACAGATGATACGTCAGAATGGAACGATTCATCGCTGTTAACACTGGAGCAATCTCTAGTAGGTTTAGGTCTAGAAGGTCGGTCTAAGTTTAATTTCTTAACAGGTGGTCTTTGAATGTACAGTTTATTTTGTTGTTTTGAAGCTTCTGGTTCCTTCTTTTTGTCCTTTTCTTTCAGTTTATCCATTTATTCTGCTATTTCATAATAACCGACACGCCATCTTGGAAAAGGAACCTTTAAACTGATGGACAAAACATTGTCAGCTAAAAATCGACTACAGTATAAGAAACTACAATTATTTTAGTGTACAGTATACTTAACATCAATGTTCAAGTCACATGTGTAGGCCTACTAGTAGGTTAAAATGTTTGAAAACTTGCCTGCAAAAACTCTTGAAAATCACAAAACACACTTTGTTCTGTAGCGAGTGGTACGACAACAACAAGCGGTCAACTCTCACTGCACTGCATCATGGGAGTCTTTCTTGATTAGTTCGTGGTATTCCCACGTAATAGCAGCAACAAACAGAGCCGAAACCTCAGTATTCCATATTACTCGACTATTCCATAATACCCTTCTCTCCTCTATATGTAACAAAGAAATTTAAAGAAAATGCCGACGGATGAGGGGCCTTGCCCGAAACGCGTATCGGCAAACAGAAGATCAATAAAGATGATGTAAAATGCATTGTGCCTATTTATGCACCTAGTAGTGAAGAA